GCGCTTTTGTGTGTGTGTGTGTGTGTGTGTGTGTGTGTGTGTGTGTGTGTGTGTGTGTGTGTGTGTGTTTGTGTGAAGGAATTTTGATACAAATTAAAAGGCAATATTTCTGTGACTATTCCTAGATTGTGTATTTAACTCACTGATTATCTGTTTAATTTGGCAGTCTTATTTTTGTATGCCACAAAACTGGCTCTTAGGAGTAATATCACAGATTCTGTGTGGGAACTGTAAGGTAAAAGGGCTACTGAAAGAAACCCACTCTGGCCCTGGAACCAGAGCCAGTGAAAGAAACCCACTCCATCCAAATGACTAGAGAAACATGGGATTCAAATCATTGTATCAGGTGACATGTACAGTAGCTCTGCTCACAGGCACTGGGGCAGTGGCACTGGAGAGTAGACATTTTATCTGCCGGGCTTCTGCTTGTCTATAAACTAGGATTAATTGTGGTGTTTCTTCTCAGTGGATTTTCTGGGTATTGCACTAAAGTCTTAGGATACCCAGTACTAGGAATGGACTGAATGCTGTTACTAAGAACAATAAAGCAATTTTTTTTCTTTCTTGCTGCTGGTAATTTGCTTGCTTCCTATCAGACTGCCTGTAATCTGTTATTTCTTGATGTGCCTGTGAGTCTCCTAACAAAGATGCTTTACAAATTTACCTGATAGAAGAGCTCCATATCATATCCCAGAGTAGTGTGCCTCAGGACATTCTTTAGGAAACTCTTAGTAAATGAATGTAATAATAATATCAGTAATAGTAATAACAATAATAAAAACACATTCTGACTAAAATTAGGACAGTTGTTCAGCAGGTATGGATGTTTCTTGGGGCATCGCTATAGCTTCATATTTAAATGAGGATTGTTCTACCAATCACAAAACAAACAAAAATACTCAAACTGTATGTTAGTATAAGTTTTTAAAGCCCTTTTAAAAAATGAAGTGCATGACTGATCTAAACATTTTATTGTACAAAAAGAAAAAGAAATATCACCCAGGCTTGATGCGTTGACTTAATATACACTTTAAAAAATTCTACCTATAAAGAGGGAGGGCCATTTATAATTTTTCAGAATCTGATAACAACTTCCTCAAGAACCAGGAAACCTTGCAAGTATTAAATAACCTGAAAGGAGGAGACAAAGAAGGAAGTAACTGACCAGAATGAAAAGAGGAACAGTTTTCAGCCCAAACAAGTCTGAAGAAGGTGAAAGAGAGCCTGGTACTCCCAGGCTTGAAGTGAGTCAGAACAGGATTTAAAGTGTTTGGGTAAGGAAAAGAGGTAAGAAACAGATTCACCTTTAATCAATCAGTGATGTTTTGCTACATCAAAAACCAGTTTTTAAAAGGATAATTCTGCCTTAGTCATAGTAGGGAAAGGTTGTGAGTGAGGTTGGTGCATTTAGGACCCTGCAAGACTTTCCAGCTCTTCTGTGTGACTGCCCTGCTTCCTGACAGAAATACACTGTCTGCTTCGAAAGGTCTACTCTATAAAGCATTTGTGATTTGCAGACAAGTGAATAATTATTAGTCAATTGTGGAAACAGCTGCTTTCCAGAGTGAAAAGTGCTTCTAGGCTGTGCAAAGCAAACCTTATGTAGGTGTTTAGCTAGGATGGTTTATTATTTGAAATAGGTTTCTCATTGCTGGTCTTTTTTGTATCACACATACTTTTCTCCTACAAAGTTAGATTTATGATAGGGATAGGATGCATTCGTTTGGCTATTCTATTTCTCAGTGAATTCTCTGTGCATGATTTTTATATCAAGTATGTACTGAGTTATCTGCTCTGCATAGAACTAAAATAAATGGTAAAAATAAATTCTTTAACTCTAAGAGGGACTCTCTGGCTTCTCTTCAACTGCTTACAGGACAGCATCTAGCCATGCAGGAAACCCACTTCTATTCTCTTTAGTACCTTCCTAAAAACTAATTCATTCCACTCAATATATGAAATTTATTTTGGAATTATACCTCAAACATTGTGGTGAGTATGAATGCAATTATTTGTGCTACAAAGTACTAAGATCCATTCTCATCTGCCCATAAAGGAAATGATGCTCTATTTGTAGAAGCCATTTGACAAATGTTTTTGTCAAATGCATCATGTCTGCCCTTGTAAGAGTGGAAGGACTCCATAGACTGTAGCTTGATCTTTTATTAATTTTTAAGTCAATATACATAATAATGGGTTTTATTATGACACTTTCATACCTGTATCATTTTATCTTGCTCGTATTTGCTTATTCCTACTGACTATCACCATTCTCTATGCTGTCTTTCTCTAGCTGTAAAGTTTGTTATGTTCATTTATGTTTTGACACGCAGGGTCTCATTCTGTATCCTAAGCCAGCCTTTGCCTCCCTGTACTGTGATTACACAGGCATGAGCCACAATGAACAGCTCAGAGTATAAATATTACATGATGACTAGATAGTGTGTGCCCCTTCCCAGAGCCCCAACGAAACTGAGAGATATCTGGATTGGTGGTGTTTGTCCCTAAGTTGTTATTAAACAGAGTTCATAAATAAGATGTGCATATATTCCTTCGGTTGACATAAAAATGCAAAATGAAAAATTTGTAGATTGATATAATCAAACTTTAAGGAAATTTATTAAAAGTCATCATTAGAAATGCCCACTCACTGAGAGTAGGGCACTACCTTGTGAGTTTTCTTTTTCCTGCTCACTGTTGTTATTGTGGCTATGAATGGATCACTCCATCCATTAGCAGATTTTTAATATATTAGCTCTCTTGTGCTTAGTACTAGTCCTAGTGACTGGGAGATGAAAAAACTTACTAGTTGTGAGGGAGTCATCTAGAATCCCCCACTTTATCATCTGTAAGATGAGGATAACAGCAGTACCCTCACATGAAAGCTGTAGGGTTAAATGAGATAATCCACATGAAAGTGCTTGAGAGCTGATTGAAAATATGTTCCTAATTAAATATGATTGATGATGATGCTCAATAGACAATGGTAAAAATGTTACAAACACTAATGAAAATATTGACTGCCAACTATTCTTGTGTCTAACCTGAAATGTATAGTAGGAATGCTTTGTTGATAAAAATCACAGGAGAAAATTCTGCCTGATGGAATACTTTGTGTTTCTATCCTTAATACTTTAACATTTCAATAGAGCACTTCAAACATCACCTTAATTAAATGAAAATAATTTGCTACAAGACAATTTGTCCATTGATAGTTTTACAAAGATACTGTGCTTTACTTAAAAGATCTCTTAAAATTTAGTAGTCTATATACCCTTTAAAGTCTATACCGTACATCTTAAAGTGTCAGTGCAAACAATTAGTTGATGAATTTTAGAGTCACTTAAAAATGGTCCCTTTCATTAAAATAAATACTGATGGAATTCGTTTTCTGTGCTAGGTGTGTTGATTCTCTCTAGGAATCTAAAAATGGAAGGATCTGGTACCTGCTCACCTTTGGACTAGGTAGGAAGACAAAATCCCCTTGCATCTAGAGTACCACGCTATGATAGAGAATTGATTAATTAATGTGGACTCTAGAGGGAGTGACCAGGGAGATTACACAGCCTCTATCCCCTCTAAAGAAGGATAACAAAGCTTCACAGAGAGGCAGGAAACAACGGCCTGGCCACACATGGATAGCTATGTCATGTTGCACCCACTTCCGGAAGAACCTTATATTTCACTTGAAAACCATCAATCATATTATCAAAAACATGGGGGAGGGTGGCAGGATTCTTCACTCTCTTCCCAAAATAGCTCATATTATGCTCAACATTAAAAGCCAGGACTGACAATACAGTGCTGTTTCACACATTTGGTAGATACAGTAAATTTATAATCTCACCAGGTACTAAGTATACAGTTAATATATTTTTAATTTATACCAGGTTTCTGGATGGTGGATTCCCCAACCTCCCCTTTCTTGAGGTTTCTACTGCACTATTGTTCTCTGCTTCATTTTGTGATTCACTGAAAGAAAAGAAAGTGGAGAGGAATAAAATCCCTCCTGGTAGAGCTCTGGTGTAGAGGAACGGTGATGTAAACAGCCATCTTCCGAGACTGTTCAGTCTCTCCTCCGGTTTCATCAGGACTTTGCCACGTAAAGTCCTTTTAGATCTGGAAAAGAAATGCCTAAAAGAGCCTTCAAACTTGGTTTTGAACCACAGCAGGCTACTAAAAATTGCATTTGCTTGTGCCTGTGAGTTCATTAGCCTCATCAAGACGCTGAACAACACTGTCCTGAAATGCTGAGGAGCTTTGTGAGCTCTTCCATGGGTGTGGCTGTCGGTGTTGCCCTCCTTGTACTCTTGCTGGCCTGTGGAATTGGATGTGCTTGGCACTGCAAGCGCCAGGAAGCCACAGCATTTACCTTACCGAAGTTTATGCAAAGGAGAAGTAGCAGACATAAAAACTTCACAAAAAACCTTGGCTTGAATGTCCACACGATTTGCCCAAGCTCTAAAACCTCAGTGGAAAGCAAAGGCCACAAGTCTTCTGCCAAGAGAAATAGGATGCATGGCGAGTACGAAAATGTGGAAGTGGGTCCTCCTGACACCAAAGTGGCAACGGAGAAGGCACTGTATGAAAACACGCAGCCATCCAATCTCGAGGAGCATGTCTACGGGAATCAAACAGACGCCCTCTATTACAATTTCCAGAAGCCTAGCCCTCCTCCTGTTCCTCAAGATGAAGACATATACATCCTTCCAGATTCCTACTAACTTTTCAGTGATGGAGACTCATTGCTGCGGGAAAAACGATCACAGGCCTCTGGTGTCTCCAAGATCAAATTATTCTGATGAAATCAGTGGTTTTTGTCTGTCTCCACCCTTTTAAATCCTCACTAAGAGAACCACTGCGGACAAATTCTAGAACCCCCCTGCCTTGGATTAAATCTATGCTATATTATATTAATTCTTCTATTTAAATATTTGCCAGTACAATTTCCCTTCATTCCTTCCTTTATCATCTTTGAGGCTCAGTGTTATTGCCACAGTCTCATCCCTCTGCTTTTGTTTTGCTGTGATGAATGGCTAACCCACGTCTTATCACACGATTAAGGTAAGTGCTTAGCCAGGGAGCCACATCTCTAGCCAGGTCTTTTGTTTTATATCCATCTCATCACTGGCCTATGATGCAGTAGACTGACCTTCAGGAAGCATCCTAGATGGTCGTATCATTCTTTTGCCAAAAATTAATTTTATGTCCTTTTTGCAAAAGACATAAAGCTCAAAACCCTGAGTCCAGAATTTATGACTTTTTCATTTACCCTTTCCTTTCTCAGTGATTTCTCCCAACCCCTCACTTCACTGCTTGCATCAAAACCATATCAAAGTTTCCAGGCCCTTCTCTCTACTCCATGGCGGTGCTTGTCCACCTTCTGAAGACTGCCTCAGATTAAATTTCTTCCAACATCCTCTGAATCATGCTAAAACTGCCTTTCTTTTTTTTTTTTGTTTCCAATTTTCTGTAGGTCTTACTGCCTGTTCAACCCTTTGAGAATTTAAGGATATGAATGTGTGCTATGCATTTTATTACTAACATAATATTTAGTTGCAACTAAATAGAAAGGAACGGTCCTCCTTGTAGCCCCAAAGAAATTATATGAGAAACTAAAAGTTTGGTTAATTGACAAAAAAATGTATCCTGCATTTTGTTACGTAGTTTTGAAGGAAATTAATAAATTTACTAATTCCAAATAAATCTAATGAACATTTATTGAATGTTTTCTATTGATTTATTATAGTATATATACTTGTTATTGTACTGGGCAGTTGGGGGATGAGGAGGGGAATTGTCACAATCAAGCCAAAAAAGAAATAAAGAAAAGAAGAAAGAAAGGAAGAAAGAGAGAGACATAAAGTGTGTGAGAGGGAGGGAGACAAATTTTGAGTATGTATTTTCTACACACAAAGAAAAGACAATGAACAAATACTGTGTTCATTATGAAACTATGGGCACCTCATCTTTAAAGACAAGCTTTTATAGGATGCGCTGTACTACTTAGCCCGGTACCCAGCACACTGTTACTTTCACCAGGTGAATCTTTACTGAGCTTTGCTAATAAGAAGTTTTCAGAGAAACAGGAATCAAAGGGAATTTGTTCCTTCTTGTCCTTCCTGCAGCATGTGATTGACTCCAGCATTGTTAATTTCTCCTAGCTTTATCCATTTCATAGATGTCTGCACCAGCTAGACAGCATCCTTTGTTAGAACCAAAGGGCCAGCTCTCAGATCCTCCCTGCATACCATCAGGGGACAAGAGCCCATTCTGAGTTCTAGGTACCAGCTCTCCAGGCCTCTGAAACTCAGATCTTAGTTCCAAGCCTATAAACATCTGAAGTTATTACCTGCCCTATGTGTGTCGGGGGGTGGGGGCACGTGTTCTGCCAGTACCTGTCCAATTGTGTATATTGTATTCTTTATATTAAACTGAAAAACCTTCTTCTCCAAAGTAGACTCAAATTATCCAGAGGTAAGGATGATGGTGAGTGCTTTGAAGAGAGAATAAAAGAAAGGAAGAGAGAAATAAAAGAAATTTTACTTTTTAGAGAAGTGAGGTAAAATAGAAAAGAGGGCTTAAATTTAATAAAATGGTCAATGGAGGTCCCGTGGGACACACTTAAGCTGAGGGCTAAGGGTGAAAAGGGACCGTCTATGCAAATATGATGTGCAGAGGGGTAAAAGTGGGCCAAAATGTCAGAAAGACATGGAGGAGTTCATGGTGATCTCATAACATAAGGAAAGCATGTGGCTCAAGCTGCATGGTGGAAGGGGTTGAAGAACCACCTGATGCAGGTAGTGAAGATATAACAGACCATGATACTTATTGGCATATGGCCCTGACCCTGATATAGGTGTAGCTTCTATCTGTTCTGGGCACAACTGGATTAATGAAGGGTTTTAACAGAGATGTGACATAAAACATTTGTAGTTTCAGAGGAGTTTCTGAGCTGAGAAATGACTGGGAAGAGGCAAATGAAGTGTAGGGGTAGATTAACAGATCTTATAGTTAACTTTGACAGAGAGATACATTAACAATACTGTCCTGTTTTTGAAGAAATGGCACAGGATTTCCAGATGAAGTCAGGGTGTGTGTTTGGTATGAGAGAGGTAAGACTGGAGGCTGTGATTAAAAAGGACCTGGAAAAGCCACCTTCTTTCTGACTAGGGGCAATGGTAAAGTACTTTACTGAGATGAGCTGACTGCAGGAGAGAGCAGGATAGGAGGCTAGAGACACCAGGAATAGGGTGCTTTGATTATTATTATATCAGCCGCTAAGAACAAGACTACACTGGCTGAGACACTTAACAATTTTATTTATTTCCTGTATCCAAGAGACAACAGTTAGGCAGTTAGTAGGTAGCATGTCAGAATTATGAACCTGTCAGCTCAACGATGCTGCACAGAAACAGTCAGGTCCTTTCTGTAATGTGTCTTCTCCCCCCCCTCTGCAGAGTGGCTGTGTTCTATTTCATAGTCAGCTCCTGCCATGAGGAAGGAATAAGAGGAAGAATGATACAGAGAGATGCTGGTTTACATCTCACCACACAGAATTTGTGACACAGTTGCTTCCAGTTATACGGGTGGACGGTAAAGTAAGGTTTGATTCCCAATATCCTCTTAGAGACAGAGAAGTGGAAAATGGAGTCATGGAGATTTTATCAACCTGTAGTACTTGGCTTCAGAGACAAAGATTAGTTTGGGACATGCATATTTGGGCAAGTTCAAAAACATCCATTGAGATGTACAAAGAAGTTTTCAATTCGTGGGTTATATGTCTATGTTTGGATTTTGGAGGAGAGGTCATAGCTGGAGGGTTATGTTTGGGAACCTTATGAATGGGCTTCATAGGAACAGAAATGGGTAGATCATCCTGAAATTATATGGAAAATGAAGTTGACAATCCAAATAAGCAGAAAAATTAAACACACACACACACATACACACACACACACACACACACACACTGCAGTATTTTCTGAGGCTACATTAGAGAATTAAATAAAAACAACAACAACATGGATTAAGAAAGAATGTCCTCGGAAGATAATAAATGCCCATGATCTGTAGGGCTGGCAGCTGATATGGTGAAGTTGGTTAATTAACAGTAAGCTGCTTGAGTTTGCTTTCATGGCTGGAGCTAAGGCAGAGAGGATTTTCTTATTATGATGCCTGAACAATGCCTCTGAATATTTGGCTGTCATCTCTCTCCTGATTTTTCTGATCTCCAGATGAATATTTCAGTTTGAGTTTAGTGGCTTGGCACTTCAGGGGGAAGTGATTCTGTTTGGTTTGATCTGTTGCTGCTTCCTGTAGGAGTCTGGTCCCTAACTATTGTCTGGAGGAAAGCTTACTACCAACAGATAGGAGAATGGTTTGTATGTGGTATTTTTTCTCTCTTTGACAAGAATAGGTGGCATTATGGTTTGACTCCTATGGCCCTGCTGCCAGGCCCAAGTTTCTTCTTTCTGGTCACCCAAAATGTGACCAACTGGCAGCTGTCTGCATCAGCAGATGCACATCAAGCTGGATAGTAACCCTCTAATGCTGTGACTTAAAGGCAAAATTTCTTCCCTTAAATTGCTCCTGTTAGGAATTTTTGTCAGAGACACAGAAAAATAGCTAACCCACTAAACTTTGTAACAGAAATGTTTCATAAATGATCCTGTACTATTTTTTTATTTCAACTTCATTTTAAAATTAATTGGAAGTTAAAGCCCTTTCCCTTCTTACCGATCAGATATGTGGGTGGGGGTCCTATAATACAGGGAATTATAATCCAGCTTTCTTCTTTTATCCATCTGAGTCTCACTCCTGTCCCTCCCACTTCATGTCCCCACCCCCATTTCCTGGCTGTTTTCCTCTTCTCTGTTTGACCTGCTTCTTCCTCTCTCTTCTTCCCTCTTCAAACATTTGTCACCCAGGGACACTCTCTTATTATTTCTTCTGTTTATTTATTAAATTATTTCTTTTCAATTCTTGAGATTATAATATAATTTCTTCATTTCTCCCTCCATTGCCTCCTTCCAAACCTTTCCATATGCTCCTCCTTCCTCTCTCAAATTCATAGTTTCTTCCTTCATTAATTAAAAACACTATCTGCACACATGTTTAACCTGCTCAGCCTGCATGTTACTCACATGCATGCTTTCAGGGATGATCATTTGGTATGATCTTCCCTAAGGAAGACTGATTCTCCCATTCTCAACACTCCATAGTTGCCCGAAACTCTTTGTGTAGGGCTATCTAATAAAACCCCCAAATACCAGGCATGAATTCATTCTTTAAAATAATATTTCTGTATATTATTAAACTTTTGAAACTAAAAAATCATCCATGAGAGATAAAGATAATGAAGTTGTTTACATTTATTGAGGACATCATTTAGTAATTGTTTCCATACTATTAAATGTAATTACCTATGACAATAAAAGAGGAAAGAGGTTAGGGAAGAGGAAAGGAGACAACAGCATCAAATACATACACTGGGTGTTATTTGGCTATGTGCTTACAAGACATGAAAGTATGTTCACATCCTATGACTTACAGTTAGCATAGGAAGCAACAATGAGCACACGGTTTTACTGACCTTACTCTGCTTTATATCTTGCTTCCCCACTGATTATTGATCTCTATTATGAGGAAAGGCTTGCTTATCCCATCATTACCAATGAATTACAGCCTCTAAGTTACTACTTAGGCTAGAGAGTAAGAGCAA